GCCACCGGGGTGTGCTACTTGGGGGCTACTGCTGATTGCTCTTCGCTCGGCTCGGCCGTTTCGGCTCGGATTGCCCATGACAAAGTAATGACAGTTTACAGCAGATGAAATAAACAAATGACCAATGCCCGGCCAGATGAGCTGAGCCAAGGGACGTGGTAGGCACTGCGAGAAAATATTATAAGGAAATATTGTACTTGAGTGACTGTGTGATACCCGATACTGCTGCAGGTTCTCTATTAAAGTGTTAGTCCTTTTTGTTAGTGACTTTATTATAGCCGATACTGCTGTAGTTTCTCTCACAAACTATATCGTCTTTTTGTCCTTCCATAATGCGACTATATGATACCCGGTACTGGGGCATTTTCTCTCATGAAATGTAACCTATTTATCCTTTTTGAGAGTGACTAGTAATACCCGGTACTGCTGTAGTTTTTTTTATAAACTATAACCTCTTAGGGTACTGAGCCTAAACCTTCTTGTAAATGACTATGTAATACCCGGTACAGCTTCAGGTACTTTTGTAAAGTATCTTCTTTGTCCCTCTAGGAAGTATCTGTATAACTATTTAATACCCGGTACTTCTGTAGTTTCTCTCAAAGCCCATTACCTCTTCGTCCATTTATGGAGTGCCTATATGATACCCGATACTGCAATAGCTTCTTTCTCAAACTATAGCCCCTTTGTTTCATGTATTTCCCCAATTAATTTTCCCCATTATTTATCTTTTTGGGGAAAACATTTCTCCAAGTGAAGACTTAAGTATTTTACTTTCTGTTGAGAACTGAAGCTGATCTCGAGCTTCTTTTCATTTTGTTTGTTCGCAGCAGTTAAATGAAATGGCATGTAAAAATAAAAAGAAATATAAAGAGTGGAAGCCTGGGAGATAGTGCCAGCAGGGGTCTTGAAAGGTGGTGGTGGATGGGTGGGTGGATGCTGGGGCATGCTGACAGTGACTGACTATCATTACGCAGTGTGCCTTTGTGATGGTCAAGCGGCACAAGATGCCCCACCAAGAAGAAGGAGGATGATGATGATAATGATGACAACAGACGTTGCTTGGGCTTCGAATGGGTGTGAATTTAATAAAGCTTCAATACATATACCGACAAAGGCCGCCATGGCAACAACAGTGAGTGCAAAAAGGCCGCATCCCATCTCCCATGCCAATGCCACTCGACTCCATCGGAGCATCATTCCAATCAACCACCGCCCAGCCGCCTCTTAAAGTCCAACAACTATTTTCAATTATTGCCAATCAAATGTTGCATTCAATTGATGTTTACATGCAGCCGAGGCAGCCTTATTATGAGCCACCCACTGGTATTGGCCTGCTTATTTGATTTTCAGCCTTTGGGCTAAAAACGTGGGGGAGGGGTTGGGATAGACCTAGTGGGTGGTGAGGGCGTTGCCTAAGAGCCATGTAATTAGTTTGCAAGTGAGTGTCAGGATTAATCTTTGAGTGTGTGTTTGATTGTCGCCACTTCACATGAGACTCTCTTCCGCACACACATACACATATTATTGCAGTGCAAATACGCAGACATTATGAAAGTGTGTGTGTGTTTGAGTGGGTGGGTGGGTGTATGAGTGGTGTGTGCGGTTGTTGGTCAAAGAAAGTGCGTACAACAAACGTTAATTGAAGGCATTGCAAACAGAGAACCCAAAGACAGAGATGGACTTTAAAAATCCATACCAGAGAAAGAGACAGATATTATCACATAGAGAGAGATGGACAGAATGGACCTAACCTAAAACTTGTAATTAATATTTAATTAACAACTTTGATGTTACTGGTTTTGGTTATTAAAGAGGTTACTATTATTTATCTTTGAAGTAAAATATTTCAAAACAAACACGTTAAGATACAAGATACAATACCTTCTAATTAGGTTATGTTTGATTGTTGTAATATATTACCCTGCCACTGGCCTTCTATTCTGCCAGCTAGCAGTATCTCTAGAGAATCTCTGGGTCGGTCAGTATGTACATATAACCGACCCCAGAACCCAACCCGTGCGAAATTGGAACCGCCAATGGAATTTAATCAAGTTTTATTTGCACTAGTCCGAGGTCCCTCGATAGAGCAGATGAGCAATGAGAGCACATCAGCAATAAAATCTGTCATGTATGTGTGTGTATAGTACAGTGAAGACTCGTTTAAACAGTATAGTAATCTTCTGTATTGTAGAGTTTATATTATCGAGTATTTACTGTTGATATCCCAGTATGGACAAGTCCCTGTGTGTGTGTGTGTGTGTGTGTATTGATTGTCATAATTAAACGCTGCTGCTGTTGCTCATGTTGCTGACCATCACGTATCTTGACCACCCACCGCCCACCGCCCACTGACACCCTTACCACCCCACCTTCCCCCCTTTGTGTTCTTTTCAGGGACTTGCTTCTTCATTTTGTTTGAGTTTTGTAACTGCGCTTTAAAAGTTTGTTGATTGAATGCAGCGCTGCACAATTGTTGCAGCAGAAGGGCAGCCATAAAGTGGCCTTATACAAACACAATCCCCTCCCCCAATCCCCCCATAGCAATCCACCTACACACGACCAGTTTTATAGCCATTTCTTTTGTATACTCTGTGGATTAGTTCTTCATTGTTTAGTTGGCAGTGTGGCGCTTTGCAGATACCCCAAGAAATGCATTGCAACTTATCAGGGCGGAATGCTCCGAATAGAGGAGGAAATGTGTGCAAAATGTGAGCTAGATTGCCGGCAATGTGTGCTGCTTCTAAGCTTCTGATACTGCCAGCTGCTTCTAAGTAGATAGGTGGGCGTGGCAAAATGCATAGCTAACTAGCTGGCAAATGAACCAGCCAGTCAGACTCACTTAAGCGGCTCAAGCTCCAAATAGATTTCGGATGCCATGAATAAAACATCTCAGTTGGGAGTTCAAAGTACTAAATGCCCAACTAAGTACAGCTTCAACTGATGGAATGGCCATCTACTAACCATAGTTATGTGGCTTTAACTCAACTAACTAATAATGCTTGAAGTAAATGGTTTTTTTCAACCAAAAAAACCACATTTAAATCTTTTAATGCCTATCTGAACCACTTTGACAAGCTCTCATTATCCTTTAGACATTTTTTTCATTTAGTCCAGCACTCCAGGCTCACATTAGGGCCGTCACATTTTCACTTAGTTATTACATTTTATTTGCTTATTTATGGCCTGCTTTTACGCTGTCCGCTCCAGTTTGAGGTTCAGTTCAGTCCCCAGCCCAGTGTCCAGTGTCCTCTTTCCTATTTCATGTCAATTGTCAGCTGGCTATTGACAAATATTACTGGCACCGCCCACTCGTCCTTCCTTCTACAGAGTCGCCCCCCCCTAGAGTTGTTATGATTATATTGTGTGCGACATTGTCAGAGACCATTTCTATACCCACAACACGTACAGTTCTCCATTGCCAGTCGTATAATATGATATTTGCATGAAATTACATGGAGACATGGAGAGAGAGTCCTGGCCAAGGGCCTTTGGGTTATTAACATGCTCCAGAGATTAGACCGACGCCGACGCCGGCAATGATGATGACAACATTTGATTTCTTTTCCGTTTACACAGGACTCTACCCCGCCACCACCCCCAAACAACCTCAACCTTTGTGCTAATCAGCGCAAATACCCAAAATACAAAAGCCAAATCGAAAGTAAAAGCAGAAATCAGTGAAAGAATGAAAGAAAGGACTCCTCAAAAGGACTCCCAACCAAGACACATACATATACATGAATATATATTCAAGTTCCACCCTCGCTAGTCAATCAAGAAAAGGAAAAAAGGAAAAAAAATTGATATGCCTTCTGGGTACTGGCTTGAGGTTTTTGTGATTATTGATTTGTTCCCTTCAGCCTGTAAACTGATATTTGGCATTTGAAATGCGAACGATTCAAGTCCTCCTCCCTAGTGATGTATGATAAACTCCAGACTCCAGGCTCCAGTCTCGACTGGCAGTCTGCGGCTGGATTAGCCGCTCAACGATTTAAGTGATTGTATATCTTACAGATATACGATTTCTGGTTGTCGTCGCAAAAACAAGTGGCGAGATTTAATAGCTCGGTTGCCAGTGCCAGTGCCAGTGCCAGGTGAGCTGAATCGGCTGAATTGGAAAGAAAACTGCCATCGGCCCACCATCGTCCTGGATACTACCAGTTTGTCCTTAGACTTTAAAGTGATTTGTGGTGTCTTGAGTGGCTTGAGAAAGTTTCCCATTCTCTCTATCTATCTGTCAGATGGTGGGTCTTACTGTATCTCAGTTTGGATGGAGGTTTTTATGGTTGTTCAGTTGGCAGTTTGGAAGAAGTTCCCGGGACTTGCGAGTTAAACGAATCTGGGTAGCTCGATTGCGGAATTACACTTTGATTAACAAAATGCTAATGTTGTTCCTATGTTTCTCTCCAATGCACTGTTTTCGTAGAGTTTGATTTGTTGGACTCCGATTTTATTGAATGCAATTGTTAGAAGTTTTTTGTGGATAAAGTTGTTGAGCTGAAATTGAAATGGCTTCTATTCCTTTCCAATAAAGTTAAACGGTTATTTAAGCCTGTTTCGTATCTATAAAGTTTGAGCCATTATTTAGCCAAATAGGCCTTTCAGGAAGTATAAATTATTTACAGATTTATGACCTTTTAGTTAACCTTAATAAAGCTTTAAATCTAACCCGAAACTTTTCCGTTGACTTTCAAATAAATTCTCACATTTTCATTAAATGTGAAGAGCCTGACCTGACCTGCCTGACCCCCGTTCCTTTCTGGACTTCCATTAACAAATACTTATTTAACCTTTTTTTTTTGGCTTAATTTCAATTTGAATATTCCACTGTTTGGATAACATTCTCAATGACCTTTCGTACAACTTGTGTCCGCTGCTGCTGCTGCTGTCAGTAATTAAAATCTGTCCAAAGCTTGCAATTAAACCCCCCAAAAATAAAACCAATTGCTAACCCCTGTGTATAAGAATACAATGTGTATAAGCCCGAGCATAATACCAACCTTGAGCCTTGAGGACGACGTCGTAATGGAGAAAGGACCGCACACACAAAGCAATTAGCAGGAAAGGACGCACGAACGAGCCAAGAAAGGATTCGTACCAGCAGTGTCTGTGAAAAAAAAGAGAGCAAGGTAAAATATTTGCATTAGCCGGGTAGAATAAATAAATAAATAAATAATATAACAAGGACTGGGGGCTGGGGCTGGGCTGTCTGTGAGCCCATGGAAATCCTTTTTTAATTTCCTTACGCGCCGCAATTGTAATTTGTATCTGAATCGGAATCTAAAATGTTTGGTCTGCCCAAATGAAGTTATAAAAGGCTCTAGGGCTCTAAACACGCTACCATACCATACCACACCATACCATACCATATAATATTGTTGAAGAAAATCAGACTTCTCGAGTGCGTTTCTGTTGCACATAAAATTTCATTGATTACATTTGTGTTTGCCGTTTGCCAGTTGCGCGTTAAATGGGCCTTAACCAAGTATAGGGTGAGTGTGTGTCTAGGATCGCTTCCTGTTTACACAGAGACCCAAGACCTAGGGTCCTGGCACACGCGAACCTCAACCCCCAGGCCCCGAAATTCATTGGCATTGGCAGGCCACGAGAAATACTTAACAAATAAAACGCTGTAATTTATCTTTGAGGTGGGTTGGCGCATTTCCCAGGGAAAATACCTAGAATTATGTGGGGCCTAAAAATATTTAAAACGCTATTTATATGCTAATATAGAGCACAAACACACACAGAGAGAGAATGAAGGGAAAATGCAGCACTACCACTACCACATACAACAAAATACAAATACAAATACAAACGAAATGCGAGGGCGGTGGTGCAATGGAATTTTTTATTTCCAACAAAACTGAAAACAGTTTTCACTAAATCCTCATTAATTAGTAGCATTTAGGGCGGCCTTTTTATACCCTTGCAGAGGGTATTATAATTTTGTCCAAAAGTGTGCAACGCAGTGAAGGAGACATCTCCGACCCTATAAAGTATATATATTCTTGATCAGGATCACCTCCTGAGTTGATATGAGCATGTCCGTCTGTCCGTCTGTCCGTCTGTCCGTCTGTCTGTCTGTCCGTCTGTCTGTTTCTACGCAAACTAGTCTCTCAGTTTTAAAGCTATCGTCTTGAAACTTTGCACACACCCTTCTTTCCTTTGCACGCAGTATATAAGTCGGAACGGCCCGGATCGGCCGACTATATCCTATAGCTGCCATATAACTGATTGACCGGAAATGGTATAACTTTGGTATTTTTAAAGTTAGAGAGTTCAAATTTTAGGTGAGAGCTATTTTTGGCAAAACATTACGACATGCCAAATTTCATAAGGATCGGCCGACTATATCCTATAGCTGTCATATAACTGAACGATCGGAAATGACCCAACTTTCGTGTTTTTGAAGATAGAAAGCTGGAATTTAGTACAGACTCTATTTTTGGTCAGTTGATCCAACCTACCAAATTTCATTAGGATCGGCCGACTATATCCTATAGCTGCCATATAACTGAACGATCGGAAATGGTATTTGGTAGAAATATCAACTTTCGTATTTTTGAAGATAGAAGTTTGCGACTTTTTTTAGATTTTGTATTGTAATAAATTGGAGTATATATTCCTATTCCCATAAGGATCGGCCAACTATATCCGATGTTTGCGATATATATCCGGTTTTAACTGCAAGGGTATATAAACTTCGGCTCCGCCCGAAGTTAGCTTTCCTTTCTTGTTTTCATTTTTTTTCGTTTTTTTTTGTGCCTTTGTGTGTGTTGCCACGCCCTCCACAAAAACGCCCCCACAGCCGCTTAACGAGCTAGCGATGCGGCAGCCTTAAAGCTACTTAGCATTAGCATTAGAGTGGGGCAGAGGCAGAGGCACACAAAAAGCCAGGTACAGTGGGCACTGCCAGTTGGTACCAGGTGTTGAAAACTGGCCAATGACATTACTCAGCACTTTAGCTATACGGTATTTGGTAAGTTGGGAAAGAACTGAAAGCCAAATGATGCATGGTACAAACAGGTGTTTGGCCTATTCAATGGGATTACCCAATCTTGCCGCAGGTTGCCATAGATATATACCGATATATGGCTACCTATTGAAGGGAGATCCAACCAAAGTCCCTCCTCAAGAACATAAATCAGTTAAGGCTAATTGTGGAAACAGAAAAGTTGTGTGTGCCACAGAGACACACACACGTTTCTCCCCTTCTTTTTGGCTGGAAAAGTTTCCGGGAGTGTGTTTTTGTAGAAAATACTTAAAGTTTAGAGCCAGAAAGTTGCAACTTTATATAAATTGAGCCAATTAATGAAAGCTTTTGGCTAAGCAAGTGGCTAACAGAGAATACAAGTATTGGCAATCATGAGGGGATTGTTGGGCAAGTTAAAGGAACTTGTTAGGATTGGTATTTATTATTTGAAAGTATAGGACTACCTGTTCCATTGTGCCACCATTTATTTTAGCAACTATTTGCTGGGCAGCCACCCACCCAAAAATGTAGGCAACACAAAAAAATAAACACTCAAAGCTGCCGCAAAAAAAAAATACAACCAAAATGAATGAAGAGTGGGAAAATATTTCATGTATATATCGTCGGGGGTATTCTGGCCTTTATGGGACTACTGAACACAAAATACAAGAAAAAAAAATAGAAACGACAGCGACTAAGACAACACTACAAATGCCATTGGACCGACCGACGAGGCATTCCCCTGCATTTAATAACGTTTAGTCCAGAGTCCATATAGTCCCTAGTCCGTATAGTCCTATAGTCCATAGTCTCTGTGAAAATAGAAAAATGGAAAGTATTCGGGGGAGAGAAGGGGCTATCGGACAGAGAACAAACAACAAAACAAAACATTTCAAAATTGTATGGGAAAAAATGAAAGAAAACAAAAAAAAAAAGGGAAAAATTCCTTCCCCATTTGCCGAGACACGGGACCGTGCAACGCATTAATTTCATTCACACTTTGAAAAATATATATGTATGTCTATATACGTATATTTAAGGCAAATATGCAATAACGGCGTGTTGGAAACAATAATATTTGTCTAGGAACCAGAACCAGAGACCCGAGAACCCGAACATTGAACATCGAAGGTCGCTAAAGGGATGGAGGCAGCGACCTCTACTGCCACTCTGCCTCTGTCTGCCAGCAAACACATGACGATGCTGCCCATGGAAGGGGCACTCTGTCGAGGCTTAAGAGCCTGGCAACATGGGGCAAGAAGCACGCGCAACATAGAAGAGACCTGGACATGGACAAAAAAAATACATATATATGTATATTTCTGATGATAGGAGTTCTCGGGTTGCCCACGTTTGTTGTGAGGCAACAACTTGAAGGGAAAAATAAAAATAATAATTGCAAGGAGAGACCCATAGCACTGACAGAGGATCGAGACAAATATACACTAACATTTCTGAAACTCTAAGCACTAATTTAATATTTTAATATATTTTCTTAAACTTTTAGGCCAATACCTTCAAACTCAAACCTAAACCATGCCCCGTCTATTGATGTTCCAATGCCAATGCTGCCACAAAACGATGCAATAGCAGACAAAGGAGTGCGGGCCTTTGTCTCGCGCTTGCCTTGATCCCCAGACCCATTACATTAGGGAGTCTACCATCCAACACTCCCATCCAGTAGTCGGCAAACAGGAGCACGGTAGCTGTTCCCCAGTTGTAACCCCAAACCTTAACCCCAAAAAAGCGACAACGAGTCGTGTCACGGTGTTTGGGATTTTTCAATGTGTTAAACTACCTGTCGCTGGGCTTGTGCGGTTGGTTGGTTTTTCCAACCATTTTTCTAGTGCCGGATTTTGGCTCTACGTTGAGCCCGGCGAAACTATCTTTTAACACGCACAACGCATTATACGAGCACCTTGCATGCACACGTCGGTTCGAGAACTGTATGGCCACCCCGCCACATCCATGCCACCATGCCACCATGCCACTGTGCGGCACAGGACCTGGCCGAAAGAGAGCCTGAGAGACGAAAAGCCAGTCAACGTATTTTCCCGAGTGTTTTTCAGCCGCCACCTGAAATTCATTCCTGCAATTCACATTCAGCTACAGCTATACCTACACCTACACCATCGCTACCCTTGGTGGGACCACCATCTGCACCACCATCACCATCTATACCTCTATAGTCGCTTTTCCTCTGGATTTCCCATCCACTCCTTGCTCTTTGCTGACGACATTTGCCGGCTAGCCCACTCCGCTCCACTGCCTCTATGTGCTTTTTTCTCCACTTTTAGTTTGATACTCTGTAGGAAAGGGTTCTTTAGGGTCTATAGGATCATTAAAACAAGTCTTTGATAGGATATAAAATAATAGTAGGACTTTAGGAAACCATATATCATTGTTTTTAGATAGATATTTTAACCCTTCATAGGTATATCACGCATATTTATACCTATGTACTACATACTATACTATATACTATATATACACTAACTCTTAAGATAGACAATTAAATATTATTCATACTTTAGGAACCGATATATCATTCTTTTGGGATAGTTTTTTTAACTCCTCATAGGTAGATCCTTAGCAAAGGCCTTGAGAAAGCCATCAACTTATTATCAGGACTTTAAGAACTCATATATCATTGTTTTAGGACGATTATTTAGTCTCCTCAGAGAAAGATGATCACTTAAGGTCACAGGATCACTAGAACACTATCATAAAAATAAGTCAACTATATGCCATAGTGTATAATTCAAATTTTAAGATCCTACATATCATTATTTTAGGACTATTATTTCAATTTCGAATAGGTGCAAATTAACATGTTTTTAGTTACTAGATCAATACCACCCCCATAAGATAGGCAACCAAGTATAATTATGATATGAAGAACCCTTATATTATTATTTTAGGATACTTATTTCTACACCTTATAGGTAGAAAGGTAAATCAATCTGTCACTATCAGCCAAAAATATAAGTTTAGAGCTTTACTATTTTCTTTCTTTGATGCCACTAGAGTTCAGCTGGGTCTCGGTTCGGGCTTTGCTCGCATTTGCGTTGGCTTTTCTTCTCAGTTTTTATTTCTGCTAAGTGAAATGTGCAGGAGAACGGCGAGTTGTA